ACTCACATATACACACACACACACACACACACAGCACACTAACTACACAAAACACCCATGCAAAATGGTTACTCTACCCGTCAGTTCCCCCCTTTAACACAGCCAGAAACACAAAATATGGCCCATTCAAGGATCTAGTGTGAGCACAATAAATCTAACAGGTGGGAAAAAGTGGTTGGCTCTCCTAATAACATCTTGCTTGACTTAGAAGCACATTCCCCTCCCGCAGTTGAAGGCATGCAGGTGACTGGGATCTGTGCTTTAGCTGATGTGTTTAAACAATCAGTCCAAGCTTTGGACCCTCACCACCATGAAGAATCCAATCAAGCACCAAACAAAGGCTGGCCTCAGCTGCTCTCTCAGGTGTGTGACTGCTGAAAGAAAGGACCAGGTGAGCTTCCCTCCCCTATGTATAGACTCTGCCCCTTACCTGGTGTGTAGTGCTAGACCCCTGTTGCCTTCCCTATCACATCTATGAAAGCATTTGAACATGGCATCCGTTAAACAATTAGTGATAAAAAAAAAAAAAAACACAGTGATAGATACTTGATACTTATACAGTATTTGTAGGATGAGAAAGTCTAGACAATGGCATGTTATATATCTCTTTTGTCCTCTTGGCGGAGCTCTGGTCTCATACAAGGATGCTTGATTAAACTTTAAAATCAATCCTTGTCTAACACAGGATAGTAATTGTTACGTGTTCTTAAGAAAATACATCAAAAGGCGTTAAACCTGGTGTTGATACAAAACATAAACACATAATATAAACTCATACTATAAAACCTAGAACACAGGCAGGAAGATAACTGAGCCACAGAGAACTGAAAATTAAGAGTACAGCAGGTTAACTTTACTTATGACTCTTTAGCTTTACAAACATAGTATTTAAAGAATAAAGACATGGTAATTACTACTAAAATATAAGAGGCGAGCGCCACTACTAATTTAACAAAGTTTATTGATTAAACAGAACAACAAAACCATTTATACTGAAAAACCTTTGTTCGCAAGGTTTGAATTAGGGTAGTGTCCGTTTGCCCCAATCCGTCGATTCACATTCCTGTTGCTTATCTCGTTCGCACATCGGCTAGAGAGGGGTTGGGTGATTGGTCGTGTGTGTGTAGGTATTAGATACCAAGTTTTATGACTTTAACCATTTGGAGGGAGTAGAGAACCAGGGTTGTATTTTCCTTTGATGTTTAAGGGAACCTCCAGGGTGAGAGGGGTTGATGTGGTTACCTTGCCCTTTTGTTCATCCTGCAGAGAGTCCATATTGACACCTTTACCGCGGGATAGGTTTGGATGGTCCCTGAATAAACAATTTTTAAGTCTGTCATGTCCGATTGAGTCTGTGCAGGGTCCTTACACAAGCAACAAGGCCATGTCTCTACTTTACATGTCAAAAGGCCAACTCTTCAGAATGAGGCCCCCCTGTGGTAAATCTGATCTCACCTCCTCTTGAGGAGGAAGGCTGGATACAGTAGCCAACCGCTGTTGTTCTCCTTGTCAATGTACCGTACCCCAAGCACCAACTAGCAGTGGGTGGAAATGTCAGTTGTTTCATCTGCCTGAATAGCAAGATATACAGCAATTTTAGTTCCTCCAAAAGTTTGTTTTGCACAGCATTTGAGGTGCCTTTGAAAACAGTAGCTTTCTTAAGGTGCTCTTCCAACACGCTGTCCAGCGAGGCAACAAGATCTACTGGAAATCCCTCTATCACCGACTGACTCTGCTTTGGCGAAATTATTTTCACCCTTCAGGCATCAGATTCGAGGACGCTGATTAGCTTAATTTATGTTTCTATGGGCATATCTTGTGTCAGCTATTGGCTGTGCTGCCTTGGCAATATTTTAGCACCCCAGCAGAGATCAGTGGATGAACAGGAAACAAATTTTGCCCCAAACATAATTATTTAGTCTAGATTTCATATATTACACATTGTGTATTTTAAACACATGCTTAAAAAAGTAGTTACTGTTTATTTCAAAAATGTTTATTTTAAAAAGAAAAATCAAAATACTTTCCACCACCAGGGAGGGCAGCACCCTAGTACCCTCTATTGGGCAGCCGCCACTGCCGCAAGCGCCTGTGTATTACTCTTTTTCTCTTCTAGATTTTCAACTTAAGTACTTTACTCATGTGGTGTGGAAGGGTGGTGGAGCAGGTTGGTGGACCCAAATGCAGAACACTAAGGCTGACTGGTGCAGTTCAGAAGTTTATTAAGCAAACAAAAGACAAGGACACTTACAACTGAGTAGCTGAGTCCATAATCCAAATAATAGTACTCCAAGCAAACAAGGTGATCCAACAGAAAGTCCAAAAAACAAGTATAATCCAAAAACCAAAGAACTAACAGGGAACAGGACGAGACAGCGCAAACTAAAATCACAACAACAGACAGAGTGTCTACACGCTACAATGACCAGACAAAGACTGAGGGGAAACAAGCAAGCATATGTACACACAGGGTTAACGAGCTGGGTGGGGATACACAGGTGAGAGACATGAGACTAATGAGACACAGGCAGCCAGAGAGAGCAGGGGAAAACAGAGAGACTAGCAGGCAGGCAGATTACTGAGGGGGGAACATACAAAACACAACTACTGAAACATGGACCATATCAAAATAAGTAGTAACAGATCAGAATTATAAAAATAAGAAACTAACTCAGACACAAGCAGACAGATCACAACTAAACTAACCCCAACAAGGAACACAGACTGAAGCTAAGATAAAACAGAACTCAGAGCAGACATGGGCAAAACAACACAGAATTTTACAGACCAGAAATAAACATTAAGGCATGAACTAAGGCACAGGACTGGGAACTACGACACAGAACAAGGAACTAAGACAAGCGACAAAACAGATACTAAGTAAACTAAAAGATGCGGATGAATAATAATAGTAAAGGCTACACAGAGACTAAAGCAGAATGATCAAAAACAGATTAATTAATGAAACTGGCAGAGAACATAAATAGACACCTAGCAAACAGACAGAACTCAAGCATGATGGTACAGAAACTAATACAAGAGACTGGAACAGAACTGAAATCAGGAAAATACCAAAACACCACTAAACACCAGCTGACAGATAATAACCAGAAAAACAATAACATCAGGTAGAGGACGCACACTAAAGGTAGCAAGCAAACTAAAAACTAAGTCTAAGGGGTTAAGGGAGACAAGATAACAGAACAACACAGACCACGAAGACTGGATACAAGAACACAGACTATATAACAGATACTAACTGATAAATTAATAAACTCAGAGAACTAAATGGAACACATGACAGGACTAACATGCAGATGCAAAACCAAACCCTCAGAATCAAAACCCCAAAACAGAACTGTTGAATAATTATGTTGTTTTATGTATAATTACTTTATTATTTTAATCCTAGCAGTGCTGTATTACTTAGAAGCGCACTTACTGTTGTCACTGAGGGAATGACTGTGGTCTCACTGGGTAAAGCTATTGACTATTGATGTCATTCTTTTAGTGTAACGTTTGACTACTAAGTTAAGGTTTGATTACTAGTATTTTATTCTTAAGACTTAAGGATTATATTCTGTGTGTTATTCATGAACTTATGCCCTTTCAATGTGTCTACATGAGCAGAGAAACTGTTCAGGCAGAATATGCAAAACATAGCTTCGCCTGACTGTGAACATGCAAATAAGCCAACGCTGCACATGCAAAATCTAGCTAGCAGACGGCAGGTACTGTCATCTAAAAAGAAGATAAGAAGAGGTAATATGAATTAAAGACGGGACAAGATGATGCAGCTAAAGCCTACCAAAGAATCTGATAGCATATAAAATAGCAGTAAAACAACTGCTGCAAGTCACCTACGCCAATAATGAGATCATTATGGGCACACTGGGAATGATGTCGACTGTAAGAAACCAAGCCTTTGTATGAGACACGGCATTGCATACTCATATTTGATGTGTTGAATCATGCTATTCATTTATCAATTATATTATTCCTTTATTAATTCATATTAATACATAAATACAATTGTAAGTTTTAATGGTGTCAAATCATGCCTGTATAACTTTTAAAAATACGGTGAGACTGAAGTTGAAACATAAAGGTGAATTTCTAGTCCAGCAATGTTAAAAATATAAAGAAGGATAAATTATAATGATAATTATGTTAAATAATAGCTAAAAATTGGTAACTTTGACATTAGTGAAAGGGTTAAATTGCTAAAACAGTACATGTAAACAACCACAAGATGGCAGCAGAGGATAAGAAATTCACCATTAGTAAGGGAGTGGTCAGCGAACACTATAGGCGGAGACCAGGTGTAACGCCCACCTGGAAGGTGGAGTTTAAGGTGGATATAAGGCGATGTTCGCTGACCACCAGATCAGTTCCATTTTGAGACCTGCAGGGATGTTACTCGGGTTTACTTGTCCCTTATTGGAATAAACTCTTTTGCACCGACTCTTGACCGTCTCCAGTTAAGTTTTTTGACTACGAAGTTATTGACAAAAAAGACAGTTAATAGAGTATTATTTGCTGAGTTTAATAAGTTGGTTAGGGTAGGGACCAGGCCTTCTACTGGCCCGGCCTGTCCTTATTTCCAACCCAACAGGACCCACTCAGGATGGGATCGTGACACACTATCTATCTATCTATCATGCATACACACAAACATTTAGCACCATTTCATCCATGCATTTTACACTACAGCACACTCATTCAGAGCTCCTGCCTGTATTAATCATACATTAGCACCAATCTTTGACAGACTAGCGGTTCGTAATTTGTACACAATTCTGATTTCTCCATTTTTAACAAATTCAATTAAACTTTTAATAATTGTCCTTATTGTATTCTTGTTTTTTCTATCTATACAATAATAACTATAGGTTCAAGAATGAGAAAGCATTCAGAAACTTTACCTGGGCAGAGAATCCTGTACTCACTAATGAGACACACTAATATGCAGAAATATTAGAAAAAGGTTTTCTGCTTACCTTTGTTATGTGCACGTGTCACTGAGATACTAGTTGTCCATCCCGATCAAAGTCCTCCGGCCCCTATTCAACTGTCCTGGCCGGCTCGCCAAATAATGATGGAGACAAAGTCTGGACTAGGCCAGCTAAAAACCCATTACAAAGTCTTCACCACTTTAAGAAACTCACCAAAATAATCAATAACTTGCAGTCCAAAAACCTATCTGGAGACAGTCAAAAATTGGTGCAAAAGAGTTTTTATTCCATTAAAAGACAAAAAAACCTAGTTACATCCTAGCATCAGGATGAACTGAGTGTAAAGTTCACAAACATCATCTTTTATAATCCTCAATCTCCTCCTGCTTAGGTGGTGTCTGTTTTCAATTCCCGCCTTTTTTCCCCAAATGTGTTTTTAATTTTCTGGAACCTTCTACACTCCATAATCTTCTTCCTCTATGTTCGCTGACCACACCCTTTTTAGTTCCGATGGTGAATTTCTTATCCTCTACTGCAATCTAGTGGCTACTTTACTTATTTTTATAAATCATTCTACTTTTGTTTTATTAAATATAACTATGTTTAAAGCTCTGATCCTAAAATTCACCATTAGAACCACAAAAAGGTCAAACTGCAGTGTTTGCTGGAAAAGTGAAGCCTGTTTGCGCTAGCTAAATAAAATGCACCTCTGAAGGGAGGATGTTTCTCATGTTGCACACAAAAGGCAAACATGAACAGCCGTATCTATAACGATTCTGAGGTCATATTAAAACCACCTCCTACCTGGCACCTATTTCTAGGAAAAAACGCTAAAATAACATATCCAAAATAAATCAGTAATATCTCCTCAACCATTAGGCCTAGATGCATAATTCTGGTCTCCTTTGAAAGGTCAGAAGCTAAGGAATATAAATCCATTGTAGATTATTTATTTTACCATTACAGACTACATGGATATGAAATACAGAAAAAAATATAATATTTTCATCCTCGCCTGGTAAAAAAAGCTTTATTTTGATGCAATAAACCATCAAAACCATCCTAAGGTAGACTATAATGCACCTGAATAGCTTCTAATACACCTACAATACAACTGTAACTGTAAATTTGATGAAAAGAAACTCATATACAACAGTTATTACACAATCTTTCAAAAATATACCAAGCGAATGTCCATGTTTTGACCATATTTACTGTTTATATGTTCACTTTTATTGCTAGTTATCTTCTAAACATTATTTCTCTCCATACAACCATGTTCCAAATAACATAAAGCTTCCAAAACACTGAAATATAAATAAAGATAAAAACAGTCAATATAAATGACCAAAAGCACTCCCATGCTTTACAGGCCCACAGCTTGAGAACAGAACATCCTACAGGGCTGTGGGCTTATTTTGTTCGTCTCGACAAGATGATTTCAGGCATATCCTGCATGTCTGTGTAGCCCCTACAGTTCGCCTCCGCCAAACTACACTCTTCTTCGGCTCTCATACCACGTGCCCAAAACATGCTGTGCCATAAATGTAACATCACTGTGGAGAGCATCATAACCAACCGAAGTACTTGACCCAAATCTAAAGGTTGTAGTTCCTCCCCAGTAGACTGATCTTTACTTATTATCTGCTCTAGCTTTTCCAACTATTTGTTCAGAGATATGGTGACGATAATGGTCCACTGTGATATGAAATTACATATTTTTCATTGGAAAATACAAAATTTTCTTGGGGGAGGCAGTCGTTGAGTACCAGCCCAGTTGGGGGAAGGTCTCCTGTAGTTAGTAAGTGTTATCAGGCCTTTCCACACTGACGCAGGGTCACTGGCTGTGAAGCTGTTTCCTAGCTTTTCAGCGTAGCACCTCTTTGCTGCTTTGATCTCTTTAGTAAGTGTATTCCTGGCCTGGTTGTACAGGACTCTGTTCCTACTTCTGAAGGCCCCCTCTTTGGTCTGACGAAGCTGCCTGAGTTTCGCTGTGAACCAGGGTTTTTGTTTGTTTTATGTGCAGCAGGTTTTAGTCTGCACACACATGTCCTCACAAAAAGTGATGTAAGATGTCACAGTGTCAGTTAGTTCGTCCAGGTCAGTGGCTGCAGCCTCAAAAACACTCCAGTCAGTGCAGTCAAAGCAGGCCTGTAACTCCAGCTTTGACTCATTCTTCCATCTTTTCACACTCTTTACAACAGGTATAGTAGATTTCAGTCGCTGCCGGTAAGTCGGATAAGATGAACCAGACAGTGATCAGAGAGTCCTAAGGCTGCACAGGGGACAGAGCGATAGGCTTCCTTTAATTGTAGTGTAGCAGTGGTCCAGTATGTTAGTGTCCCTGGTGGGACACTTAATATGCTGTCTGTACTTTGGAAGTTCATGGCTGAGGTTTGCTCTGTTGAAGTCCCCGAGAACAATAAGCAGGGAGTCTGGATGTTTTTTCTCCACGTTAATTATCTGGCTGGCCAGGTGTAGTAACGCCTTGCTAACACAGGCCTGAGGTGGAATGTAAACAGCGACCAGAACAAACAAGGAAAACTCCTGCGGTGAATAAAAAGGTTTACAGTTTATGAATAATGTCTCTAAGTGAGGGCTGCCTGATTTCTTCAGCACTGTTACATCTGTACATAGGGTTGCCACCCATCCCTTAAAATATGGAATCATCCCATATTTGAGAACTAAAATCGAGTCACATATTGATTCAAAACGGGGCGCGATTTGTCCCGTATTTCCGAGTTGTCTTTAATGCAGCATCCCATGCAAATCATACCATCTGCATTCTTTGAATACTCCTCATTTTCTACCTCTGATTGGGCAATCGGAGTCAGTTAAGGACGGGGCTCTTGTCAAGGAGTCTAGTTGAAATAACTTCGGCAGTAGCTCGAGAAATCCCCCGCGTGCCCTCTGAAACAAAAGCAAATGCAAAAAGTACCGACAACGGTGAGAGTGGGAGAAATCAAATAACCTACTTGATGAGTATCAAGCCAAACTGCACAATTTGTCGACCATGTTCTGTGTGGTGCACGGTGGCTTGTCAGACGTGTGACAGCATGCTGAGGCAGTGTAATGATTTAATAACATATAGCCTACTAATTTTCTGATGGTTACTCTGGTTTTAGAAGAACAAATATTGTTACAATGTCAGTGAATCACATGCCTACATTATGGTATGATTTGTTTTTTAAGGTTGAGGTGTACAGTCAGACATACAGTATAAGCATTAATTTAATAAGAGATATCAAAATATAGTGGCTATGTGAAGACTATAAATAACCATGTGTTATGCTTAACCAATCTATAGAATTGCATGATTCAATACTATAGAATTAACAATAGGCTGAATGAAAACTGAAAAAATAAATACATAAATATATTTACTGACCAATCATAAAAATGGTGTTGAATTAAATTGAGAAATGTTTGTCGATAGATTATTTATTTCATTGTTTGGATAGTATTACTGCAAACAATGACAAATGTTTTAGCCAAAATCTCTGTCCACACCCCACTTTAGAATTACTCAAGTTTCTCAGCAAGAACAGGTGCTCTGTGGAGCTCATTAGGAGTGAGCTTTTTCTGTTCATAGTTTTACTGTAGCTGAAAGAGAAACAGCTGCTCAGTGCTGCACGAGTAGTGTACTTCTGACTACAAAAAATTTATAAAAGGAAGTACGCCTAACATGCTCCAATACTGCACACAAGGCTAACTACTTCTGGTCCACTGATGTTCATGGAAAATCCTTTGCAAAAGTCTTTTCAATCAAATCGTAAAAGCATTTGTTTAAGTCTATTTATAGTTCATAAGTTATGGACATATTGATTTAATAAGTTCAGTTAAGAATAAAGTTCACAGTTCACATGCTATTTTTTTGTGTTCTCACTGTCACACATTGTTGGCCTATGTTTATTATTGTAGCTGTGTGTTCAGATATGACAATATGACCACTAGTCTGCTGAGTTGTGACAGAGAGAGACTGAGTGCATCTGTTCACACTGATTTCAATAGCAGATAGCTTATTATATTGTCCATTGGTATAAATCTTAATGCTTTCATGAAAACATGTTTTAAGTTATGATATACCACCACTGGCACACCATTGGGCCTGTCGTTGCCGGGCCCCCCGCAGGCGTCCCTTATTTTTCTGTATTGAAGGTGGCAACCCTATCTGTACACCAACCTTTGCTTATGTAGATACATAGTCCACCTCCCCTTGTTTTTCCTGTGAATTCCATTACGCGGTCCGCCCGGAAAAGATTAAATTCTGGTAGGTGAGCCAGGACTCAGTAAAACAGAGGGCAGATCTGCAGAACTCCGAATTAGTTCTGTTGAGGAGCAGCAGTTCATCCATTTTGTTGGCCAGAGAGTGGACATTCGCCAGATAGATGGGAGCGCAGTGCGAAAACCCTGTTGTCTCAGTTAAACCAGTGCACTTGCACACTTGGCCATTCGGCCTCTCCGGGAGATCCCAAACAGAGCTGCCGCTCTTCCAACTAATAACTCCAGGAAAGTTCCAGTTTCGATAAGGAGCGGTTGAATAGTATGAACAGTTGAAAGTCCAATATTTAAGAGTTCTTCTCTGGTAAAAGTTACCAGAGAGGGACGGTAGAAAACAGAGTTAATAAACAAAAACACAAAAAGCACTACGGAGCATAATCCAGAGGCTGCCATCCTGCACGGCGCCATCTTGACTATTAAACATGTGGCTATCCTTCTGCTCACAAATTCCCATCCTTCCACTTGAAATCCACCGGACCACAAGGTCTCTTCTGAGTTACGTGCATGCTACTTGTCCGTGCGGACACAGTGGAGATTACTGGTTGCTGAGATGATTACTGCGTTTCACGCAGAGTAACCTGATAACTAGGGAGTAGTCTGATTACAATGTTTCACAGTGTAACCTGATAACTAGAGACTAATCTGTTTACTGCGTGTCATAGTGTAACCTGATAACTAGAGAGTAATCTGATTACTGTGTTTAACACAGTTAAACCAGTTAACAAGAAAGTAATCTAATTACTGTGTTTCCTACAGTTAAACCTGACAACAAGAGAGAAATCTGATTACTGCGTTTCATACAGTTAAATCTGATAACTAGAGAGTAATCTGATTTCTGTGTTTAACAATGTGTAACCTGATAACTAGAGAGTAATCTGATTACTGCGTTTCACAGTTAAACCTGATAACTAGAGAGTAATCTGATTTCTGTGTTTAACAATGTGTAACCTGATAACTAGATAGTAAT